TCTCTCTCTCACTCTCTCTCTCTCTCTCTCTCTCTCTCACACACACACACACACACACACACACAAATGTTAGAAAAGGAAGGGGGAAGAAAATAGATCCATCTGGAATAAATGGGAAAATTATTTTTGCTTATTCTGAAGAGTTTTTTTTTAAAAAAAGATTTTCTCTTTGCCTATCTGGGATTTTCTTTAAAAGACACTGGTTAGGAATTGCAACACTTGAATTAGAATCCATGGAAGTAGATAGCTAAGTATTTAAAAATACATTTACAATTCCATATTTTCCAGTTCAACACCTGGTCTTCCTCTCTCCCCTCCTACTTCACTGGCTGTTTTGCTTCACATTAAAATCACACACACACACTTTTAAACTTTTTATTATCATCACTGCCAGTGAGTGGATTTTGTACAGTCTGAAAGCAGCACATTATTTCACTTGGAGTGATTCCCTTTCCATTTTTCCAGATGGGAAAAAATAATAAAAGAAATCTACCAGCACAGCTTGCAGTCTTTATTGGTGGAAGGGAGAAAGAGTCCAGAAGCACCTTAATGACTAACAGGGCATAAGCTTTCAGGAGTCACTGCTCACTTCTTCAGATACAGCTCAAATGTAAGTCGTTTTGTACTGAAATCTTGGAAAGTGAAGTGATTTCAGCAGGGGTTATTTCATAGGAAAAGAGGTGCAAGAGCTCATTAGCATAACTCATTTGCATATGCCATACCCCCTGACATCACCGGAAGTATGTCAGAAGGCAAAACCCACTGCTCAGGCTCCACTGGACTCTTTTGGATTGCTAGCTATGGGGGGGGGCACACAGATCTGCCCTCACAGAGGAGGGAGAGCTTGTACCTGAAGAAACCTTGGCCTTAAAGGTGTCACTGGACTGTTTTGAATTGCTATCTGGGAGAGGGGCTCTGCAACTTACCTGGCTGCTTCTTGCTCCTTGTGGCCCAGGGCTGCTGGGAGCAGGGGGTGGAGCTTGTTGCATGTGCCCGCCCCCTGGGCTCTTTACTGCCGGAGCTCTGCTCCTATGCACTCCTGCAGGGAATGACCCCTGAAAGTGATCTTCTGAGATAAGTTAGGATTGGATACAGTGATATCATGATGGGAGTTCTGGTGGTGTTATATTGAATCATTGTAGGGACAGCAGCAGGGTGGGACCTCATAACCTCATAACAATGAACAATGAAATAAGTGAGGCTGAGATAGCAACTGGCCAAAGGTCACTCAGCAAGTTTCCATGACAGAACGGGGATTCAAACCTGGGTTCCCCAGCTCCTGGTCTGTCACTCTAACCATTACATTGCACTGGGATTATCTCCAGATGTGGCCATAACTATGGATGTGGCGCAGCCCCAGAACTTCCATCCTATTCCACTGATGACAGGGTCAAAAGCACTCTTTCAAGCAAGTGATTTTCTCCTATCCTATAATTATCCAAATAATAGCAATTAACTCGCCCATCTTCAGACACTGAGATCATCACGGAGTGGTGAATACATAGTCCACTACAACTCAGATAAAGGCCCAGGGACTAGGAACAGGCAAGATTCATTCAGTGTGATCTTCAAGCTCTCTACTGCAGGCTTCAAC